CGTCGGCACAAATTTACGTTAAACAAGTCATATTATATTCATATTATACGCGTTCCTTTTTTTATTCTTTGTTATCAAATCAAGGTAGTTACCGTTTATCATTCGGAAATTTATCGTAATTTGCTTTTATATTTTCTCATTTTTTGATAAAATCGCCCGATTCGCCACACGTGACAACATTTTGCTTCTATCAGGCATTTTCCAAATATACATATACCGAGCATTATCACACGATTGTTTAAATCATTTCTGCAAACTCGTTTGGCTATAAGAGTTTCTTACATCGCACCGTCAATTTTCGAAGCTTTACATTTCCAAGCGATGCGTTTCGGAACGAAATCTTCCGGCAGAGAAACCAATTCGCTGGCTCGTTCCGAGCGATTCGGGTGAAGATACATAACGTGTGTATGCGTGTGTATTCGGTATATACGTGTATATTCTGGCGGACAAGAACGTCTAATGATAAATTTCGTCGGAAATAAGATCTTCGTCGGAAAGGGCATTAGCTAAACAGTGACAATTCTCACTAGGCAGGTGGAACCAGGCAATGAGCCGAGTATTTCGGTACAAACGGTTTAATTATCTTGCTGTCTTAGGTCCCGATTTAACGCGATGAAATTATATAGTAAAGGGAATTTAACTGAACGTAATTCGCCGACGGAACGAGAATTGCACGTGACACACTGGCACGTGCACACACGTAGCCGCAATTGTGCCGGAAATCTAGCAAAACAGACTCGTTATCGATCCTCCTGATCAAAATTTGCCAGGGAGCGCTGAGTTTCCTCGTAAATATTTACGATCACTTTCCTCGGCAAACAACAAACAAATTCGCAAAGATGATCGGAACGCACTGGCTCTTACGCTTGAAAACCACCACTTTCCCAGATGGCCGAATTTAATGGATCGCTTATCACGCGCGCTATTTTACGTTCCACTTTCTTTCTTTTTCTATTCGAGTTTGAAACAAGGTTTTCAGGCACACGTATTAGACTATGTAAATACCATCAGGAACTTACATGCCAGCGCACGTACGCAATTCAAACATGTCAGCGGTAAGTGTGAAGACCCGTTCGTCACGAACTACAAGAGAGCATCAAGAATCGGTGGAAAATTCGCTCGTGTAAATCACTTTCGCTCGTGTTACGTGCAAATTAGACTCGCCCGCGGCCGCGAAGATAAGAGCGCTAGCAAAGTAATCAGGAAAATAGTTGCCGCAAAGTTGCTTCCAAGTTATCGCGCGATTATATGGATTTTTTAAGCACTTCTGCCGCGATTACAGGACTGTGAGGTACGACCGATCGTTCATTCGCCTACTTTCCCCTTGGAAGATAGGAAAAACGCAGAAAGAAAATGGAACGATTAATGGCAAGCTTATCTTTCACGATAGACGAGATGACATAAATATCAAGATCTAACGTTGTATTGAATCAGAACGCCAAAAGAAAAAAGAGGCGAGACCGTAGCATCAAGATACAACTATAATCTTTTAAGATGAATCTTTCCATATTTAGAATTTCGTAGAGGTATGTTTCTTCGATTTTTCGACGATGCAAGTTTAAAAGCTCCTTCGTTCGCCGTCGCTTATCGACGAATTTTTAACGTTATAGACACAAAGGGGTATTATCCACGAGCTATCGGAAAATTAATCAAGGATCAAAGAACTTAGAATCTCAAACAGCAGCAACGCGGAGATAGTTGGGATATTTATCGCGATGAAAGTGACGAATAACTGAGATTTCGAAACAGCTAGCATACAATGCTTTTAGCGACGTAAGTTCCTCTTATAGGATTTGATATCTCAGAAGGAGAAAAAGCTGCTTTTACGCGACATTTATTATTCTTTGAACGATGAATCGAAACAGCTTCTACTAATAACAATAACTAACAACGTTCCAAAACTATCTTTGATTAAATTAATACGACGATTAATACGAAGATTGAAATACTCCAATATGTATTTAGCTAGGAAGCTTTACGATAGTTACTTGACGATATTCGAATATTGAACGTAGACATCAGGTTAATCAACTTGATAGATCTTTATGCACAGAAGTTGTATACTATGATATTCATTCATAGGAGCGAATGAACGACAAGCCAGTAAATAATTAGTTTTCGAACAATCTTTTCATTTCTCCTAGGATTTACAAAAACAATTATATTTCTGCGTAAACACTTATACTCGTGCATCCTGTGCATAATTAATTTATCGTAAAACACAATTAAAACTATGTAAAAAACGATATATACTTAAAAGGCGTTTAAAATGCAAAATATAAAATGCATTGGCCGTTTCATCAAGATATGCACAATTAATGCATACACCGTGAAAAAATCGTTTTGTCCCGTCCATTTTTAATATATACGATTCATACTAGCGCAAGTACACGAGCATGCAATCGTATAAGTTTTATTTCGCGGAAAACTGACAAACTTCCTCTCTTATAAATTTCATACGAAAGCAGACAGTAGCGGGGCTCGAACGAATGAACGAAAGACTACACCAAAATGCTGACGCACACACATATACGTACATATGTTGCTGTATATGCATATACACAAATACATATCGTATATTCCGATAGGGTCTCGTGACTGTCTCTCTTCTTACACCATTTTGTGTCGATCCGTCGATAAAAAATTTAGATTTCACGTGATCCTGGTTGACCAACGGTAAAAAACGAAATCGTCGCATTGCATCCAATGTCGCACGACTTAAAGCGTAGTTACGGTGGATACGTATCCGAATTAGCGTCCTGACGAATTCAATACGTCGATGTGATCAAATACGTATGCAAAATATATATATGTATGTATATAGTGGCCCAAAAAGGTATTCAAACGCGTTTAGAAACTTTTCACGTATAAATTATACAAACGATTTTGAAATCTCGTCGATTATCGTAGTCGAAATATATTGGTAAAAGTCGAAACGCATTTGAAAATATATAGAGATTCGTTGAAAGTGTACGTCTCGCAAAGATCATCAAAGTATTTGGACAGTCGATTCAGCGAGACCATTTGTTGCACTAACTGTATGTTTCGGGCTACCATTCATGTTGTATATTTTTTCTACTAAACGTACATTCCCTTTTAGCGTCTTCTAACTTGTATCTTTTGCGTATATTTTCAAACTCGTTTCAAATTTTACTACTGTAATCACGGCGTTTGTATCGTCATCACCATGAAAGTGAGCCACTGTAGATTTCTATAAGCGTATGCATCGCGGTTTCCGGAGTTTTCATTCGTCGGAACGGCATCCACTGGAACCACGACTTGACGTCACATGCCAAAGGCAACCATCCTCTATCAAATATACATATAACATCGACGATGTTAAAGCGACGAGAAACGTATTACAAGGGAATTAAACTCATCGACCGACGCGTTTTCGCCAGCCAGCAAATCAGGTTTATGACGCGTAATATCGTTACGTCGAATCGTAGGATTCCGTACGCAACGTCTGCCGGGTAACTCGAGTATTCGTTTTCGGTCGTTCTCCCCTTTCCTTGGCCCTCGCCATTCGCTTGCATACGGAAGGAGAAGGGATACGAAAGAGAAAAGGTGAGGCGAGCAAAACCGTAATATCCGAAGGAAAATTTGTTCGCCGAAATGAAATTATCCAGCGACGATCTTGCATTATACTCGCGGTCGTACGTGCTCGGCATAACGCGTCGAGCTGCTACGTCCCTTTAATACGTGGAATACGTATCGAACGATCGTATCGTAACTTCCGTTCTCGAATCGACGAAATACCTTGGCCAAATTGTCTGGGATTCGATTTTACCATTTTTTTTTTTTTACAGCGTACAAATTGATTCGTCCCTGTAACACGACGCGCGATGGTGAGCTTCGCTCCGATGATATGTAAGAATAATTGGTTACTCGATACAGCGTCGATCAAGTCGAAAGACAAATAGAGAACGTTGAAAGTCGAAGACAAGCGCGAGCATTAAGCTTATTTCGATCGAATGCAAATAGCACAGAACGATATAGAAGGGCGCATAATTAAACGATGCCGTGCTCCTCGGCCGACACGGACTTTCTCGAACACAACGTCCACCAATGAAATATGGAAGAAATGGAATTAACGAGAAAAAGTTCGACGCGACGCGATACCGGTTTAATTAAGATGATGACGTAAACATTGTGCACGCGGAGCTATATTTTAACGCATCCCGTATTCTGATTCGTTGGAAACGTTCTCGTTTCTCTTTTTTCTCTGCCTATCTCTTGGAACAACTATCGACTCGCGGCATCCTCTTCGATTAATTGCTGCCTTCTATCCGAAGAGCAGATACAGGCGTGATTTTGAAACGTATTTGAGATAGATAATGCGAAAATCGTTCCGCGAGATGAATAATTCGACTATCGTATGAAACTCATTTGCGGTTTACTTATTCCTCGATGGAACGCACAGAAGTTAAATTCTCTTCGAGCTCAGCCATGCGTTAAACATTTTCTGACCGCACGAAGAGATCCTGAGATTCTAATCGTTGGTCGTTCACCAAGAACCAGAGATTCGCAAGTTCCAACTTTGCCATTACCACGAGCGTTAGTAAAGTATTCGTTTAAGCAACGCGATTTGGCGGTTTTTCCTTTTGACTTCTGCCTTTATCTCTGTTAAGAAACTAAAAAGAATTAAAAAAGAAAAAAAAAGTATAATAGAAAGAAGAAAATGAGCGAAGCACGTTAAAAATATTATACACACTGATATTTTTCTCCCCCGAGACGGAGGCTTAGAGTTAATTGGCTCCGGGAGAAGCGAAATTTGAAATTGCAATATCCTGCACCGCGATACAGAAGCTGCCGGCTCATTTCCATCCGTTGTCCACAAAATCCCGCATAGAGGTTCACCGTGTATACGGCTCATCGGTCGACGGAAATACGGAACCTAAACTCGCGTATTATATTCCGAGAGCCGCGACGAAGGCAACGACGATTTCAGAACGGTGGTGCACAAAATCGGACATAGAACAGATGCAATCAGCACTTACATGTTCGTCGGGCTGCTATGTAAAAGCGTGGCAAAAAAAAGTGTCAATCGTGGTGGGTCATATCGGGACGCACACCCATACGCGCACGTTTCTCGATCCCTCGATGCTTCTTTTACTCGGAAAAGATACGATCTGTCAGGGAAGGATATAAAGTTCGATTCGATGGAATCCTTTGAATCGTTCCGACTGATACGTTCCTCTACCGTTTGATCACGAACAGCTACCGATCCACACTTCCTGGATCATTCTTTCACGTACGAATACGATAAGATTTCTTCTCCGTCTTCTTGGTTTGAAAACGCGCCACCTCGAGGCAGCCGGTTGCTTCGCGGTCACGCGACTAATTCGTCCGTTGATACTTATTCACAGAGCTTAATATGCATTTAATAACGAAGACATCACGATGCTAGATCACAACGAAAATCGACTTAGTTAGGCGATCACCTTCGAAACCTACCGATCGACACAGCTGTTTTTAACGTGGGAGCGCGCGTTTACGGGAACGAAAAGAATGACAAGTTCCGCGAGCACGAAACGTACCGGAGGTTCGGCGAACCGTGTGCGGCCCGCACCCTCGCACGAGACGTACTCGGTTTGTCCTAGAGCAGGTAGGATGCTAACACCGACGCCGGCGCTGCCACCGCTGCCACCACCGCTGCCACC